AAAGATATTAAAGCATTTTACCAAGTCCTCCTAAGCCCGTTGGTCCGATCAGCTGCATGAGCTGGTTATGGCTCATGTTTCCAAGAAGGCTTTGCAAGCCACCCTCACCTAAAAACAAAAACATTCTGAAACACAACATATTCACATTGGTTTGGTTTTTCACAGCACTCCGGCTCAAACAGCAGGAGATTAATTGGCATCACATTCTGCATGGAAAAAACAGTTTCAAGTGTTTACTGCTTCATGATGCTCATAAAAGATATATGCGACTTGGCTTCATAAAGAGGTAAGACTCCAGAGAATCCACTGGAAACACAGAGATTTCTTCTGGCAGCCTTAACTTCCAGCCTGAACCTGTTTAACAGCCCACTTTATCCTGCTAAAAGCATGTTTACTCCGCTGCTATTAACCCTGTCCCCAGCTCACCCTCCACAGCACCAGGAATTGCTTCCTAAGGAGCTGTCAGTGCTCCTCCTACGTTAAAACAAAAGCCTCGGATGTGCAGGAGCAGAGAATGGACTGTACCTCCCAACGCAGACAGCTCGTGGCCTCCGCTGGCGTTGCCACCCAAAGCCCCAGGCATTGGGGGGTTGTTGAGATACTCGTTCACTTTCCGACAGTGCTCCTCGTCCTTGTCCGTCTTCGGCTCCTGTAAGAGAGTTGCTCCTTGGTATGAGTCAAACTGGGAGTGTTTTGTTCCGAGACCCTTCTTATCGACTTCCCACAAACCTGCATCCAGAAGAAGAGCCGCTTGGATCCTGCCTTGAACTTCAATACGTACACACGGCCCGTAGTGCACTGAGGCACCCTCTTGAATTCACAGTCATCGGGAAAAATGATCAAATCCTGGAAAGAGGGCAGCAGCTTGAGAAAACACATGAACATTCCCTCCAGCTCCCCAAAGACAGAAGCAGTGTGCGCTTACAGCCTAGAAACCAACCCTATCCTGGCCTGCATCAAAAGGAGTGTGACCAGCAGGTCCAAGGAGGTGATCCTGCCCCTTCACTCTGCTCTTGTGAGACCTCACTTGGAGCATTGTGTGCAGCTCTGGTGTCCTCAACAGAAAAAGGACATGGAACTGTTGGAACAAGTCCAGAGGAGGCCACGAGGATGGTCAGGGCCTGGAGCACCTCCTGTATGGAGACAGGCTGAGAAAGTTGGGGCTGTTCAGCCTGGAGAAGAGAAGGCTGCGTGGAGACCTCAAAGCAGCCTTCCAGTATCTGAAGGGGGGCTACAGTGATGCTGGAGAGGGACTCTTCATTAGGGACTGCAGTGACAGGACAAGGGGTAATGGGTTAAAACTTAAATAGGGGAAGTTTAGATTGGATCTAAGGAGGAAATTCTTTCCTGTTAGGGTGCTGAGGCACTGGAATGGGTTGCCCAGGGAGGTTGTGAATGCTCCATCCCTGGCAGTGTTTAAGGCCAGGCTGGACAGAGCCTTGGGTGAGATGGTTTAGTGTGAGGTGTCCCTGCCCATGGCAGGGGGGTTGGAGCTGGATGATCTTAAGGTCCTTTCCAGCCCGAACTATTCTAGGATTCTATGACCTCAACCCTCCCCAAGCCTCCTCCCATTTGCTCCTCAGAGCGCAGGGCTCAGACTCGCAGATCTGCCAGGCCACAGCGGTGCTCTTGTCCTGATTTATCTCAGAGAAGCCCTCTCAGCAGTAGCACAAGCACACGCAGCAGCGACACACCCAACCCTGCACTCACGTCCTCCACGTTGCCCGAAGTCCTGTCCTTCCAGCAGAAGTGAATGAGGGAATCATCAGTTTGCTGGATGTAAACGAGGCCTTTCCTCTTGTCTGGGGTCACGGTGCTGCCTTTCAGGGACATCTTCCCTGCCCGGAATTCCACCAGGTATTTGCTGGAGGAGCCGCGGGAGCCTGGCACCAGGCTTGGAAACAGCGCGCCCGAAGACATCCTGGAAGGAGAAGGAGCGCAGGGGCGGTGAGAACCCTGCCCGGGACCGCTCTTCTCGACATCAAACGTCCATCGAGAGAGCTCCACAAGAGGAATGAGCCTCACGGCCTCCACAGCTTCACATCCAGAGGAGATGGAGCAGAACCCGGGCAGGGCTCTGCAATGGGGCCGCCAACAGCAGCCCTCGGCGCTTCCTTCTTCAGCTCACGCCATCGGGGGGGCTTTAACAGCCACAGGCGCTGCTCTAACGCCAATCTCCAGGCTCCCGCTTTAGCTTCGGGGAGGAGAACCCGGGGATGCCCGGGTTGGGCCCGGCTTCCCGAGGGCAGAGCGCGGCAGCGGCCGCAGGTGGAGGGGCCGCTCGGGCCGCATGACGCTGCACTTGGGCTCGGCTCGGCTCGGCCGCCGCTCGGGACCCGCCGCGCCAGCCCATCCGAGCGCACCGCGGCACCGGCCGGGCACACCCGGGAGCCGGCAGAGCCCCTCACACAGCCGGGAGCGGGTCCGCGGGCTGGGCCCACAGCACGGCCTGGCCCCGGCGCCCCCGCCCGCTCCGAGTTCCAGCCGGGTCCCGAGGCCGCCGCGAGGCCTCCACAGAGCTCCCCCTCCCCCGGCGGGAGACCCCGCTCCCCCAACGCCCGCAACCAAGCCCCGGCGAGCAGCGCCAGCCCGGGGGATGCGGAGCCGCCCGCGATGGAGGCCGCTCAGCCCGGCCCGGTCCTGCCCGGTGTCCGCCCCCCGAGTCCCCGGTACCTGCCGCCGCCGCCCGCAGGCCCCGCGCCGCTCCGCTCTTCCTGCCCCTCGCACCGGAACCCCTCCCGCGGCGGGGCGGGGCTGGGCGGCACGAGAGCCCCACGGCCGCACGCGATTGGCCAGCGAGGCTGCCAGTCACGGCGGTGGCGCCAGGCGTCCCTGCTGTGTCACGGCGGCGGCGGAAGATGGCGGCGCCCCGCCCCCGGGTCACGGCCGGGGCCGGGTCAGGGCGGTACCGGCGGGCACCGCGCACGGGCAGACCGGGCCCGGCCCCTCGAGGCCCAACCGGGGCTCCCGCTGTGATTCGAACCGGGTGTGCGGCGCCGGCAGCCGCGGTGAGGGGCGCGGGGCCCAGCCGAGGGCTGCTGCCCGCAGAGCAGACTCCTTCCACCTCCTCTGTGGGGAAAAGCGTTGATTTTGGCAATCCCAACGCGGATAGGGAATCGTTTGTCATTAAGCTGGGGTCAGCACCGCTAATGGGGGCTGGATTTTCCTTTTAATTCAGGGGATCAGCTGCCTGGCCTCGTTAATCCGGATACCGGGAATTCCACGCATGCCGGAGGGCTGAAGAAGCTGCTCCCTGTTCCCTCACACCCGAGCGCGGCCCCTCCGGGATCCCCTTCCCCACAGGCCTCAAACCCACCCCTGCCAGCCCTGACCCCTGCTGCCGCGGGCCCGCAGCCGCGCCGCCTTCCACCACCGCCGCCATAACGAGCGGGAGGAGGAGGAGGAGCAGAGCCCCGGAGCTGAGGCTGCACCAGCCCTGATCCCCTTCACCACCACCCTCAGAGCCCGCTGGCAGCCAAGGGAGGACGAGGGCTCCATGGCAGCAGGAGGTGCTCGGAGCTCTGACTGCATTTAAATCCCCTTTGTCTCATCAGGACAGGGCAGAACCAGCCCAAAGTCCCTCCTGCCCTCGCGGACTCGGTCTCACACCAATCTCTGTCACCATGGCGAGGCCCAAAGGGTGTTAAGTGTTTATTATCGTTCCTTTCCAGCGGGGTTCTCTCCGGGGCTGTATCAACACAATCTAACACGGGTATCGTATAGACAGTGTTTAATCAAGTTATAAAAGTGACATTCTTTCAAAAGGTGCAAAGTTCTTCATGTCCTGACACAGAAACTACTGAGGCGCAACCTGCATCGAAAAGAAAACGTGTTGAGAGCATCAGGAGACCCAGGAGAAGCCAAGCACAGACCTGTGGCCGGGAGGGGAAGGAACCTGAAGTGTTGGCAATGAACAATAACTTAGAAGAATGGGGTTGGAACGAGCCTGAAACTGAACTGAAAACCTCAGAGGAAGGGGAGAAGAGGGGGAGGACACATCCAATGGAGTGCTTGTAATATAGAAACCTTCCTAATGTCTTTTAAATCCCATAAGGATCCTGCCTGGTTTTATTAAACCATTGTTTTGTGCTTTCACCTAATGACAAGGCTTCAGGTCTTTGAGCTTAAATCATGAGAGATGCCAACCTGTACACTTCCTACAACCAGAGCATTGCTTTAGCAATGACTCTTCCATTCAGGCAGTTTCTGTTCCTATGCAAACCCCACTCCACCACTGAACACACCATTTAGTTCAGGCAAGCTTTAACCTCCCATGAGGCATTAACCTGGAATCCTTTCAGTCCCCACCTCACCAAGGGCTCCCAGTGCCGCCTGCAGTGGGTTGGGAAGGGGCCCCTGTGCCCAACACGGTCACCAAAGTTCATCTTTTTACATAAAACCTCATTTTTGTGCTGTCCCGCAGGGCTCAGCAACGTCTGTGTAAGAGCTCCTGTGCTCACGAGCAACCGAGGCACCCCACTGTGCCCCGGGCACCAAGGCGAGCCCTGCAGGCACACACAGCCTGATTCCTGGCAACAGGAGCAGGTTCCAGGCTGCCCTCAATTGTTACAGCTTCCCTCATTTCTGCAGTGAGGACAAGACCCAATTTCCCCCACATTTAACGTTTCTCTAACCATGATGGGCCTGGCTGGACACAAACACATCTCTCCACAAGCCACTCGACCCTCGTCTGCTTCTTAATCCTGAGGCTGAAGAGAAGCCCTTTCAGCATCTCCTCTCTGGCTGAAGCCACGTGTCCTGGACATCAATCACACCAGGAGCTCCTCCAGCTGCGGGTGCTTAACACCAGCAATTACTGAGACCCTACAGCTGTGCAGCCACTCTCTCCCTTTTACCTGGGTACTCAATTAAAAACATGGATAAAAGAAGCAGCAACATCAGGATTAGCTTTAATGACTGGACTTACTTTTTCCAGCCTCTCTGCCCCCTCACCCCTCCCAGATCACTTGAATGACAATGAATGCATCAATCCAGTCATCCTTTCTAGGGTTATATGGCTTTGATGGTTTGACATGGAACAAAGGAAATCTGACTTACTGACATCACGTGCTCACAGAAAACTTGTAATAGGTAGAACTCTGCCAAAGCGTGAAGTTGATTTCTGCTTTTTCACAACATACAAACCAGACATGACCTAATAATGAACAACATGCAAACCAAAACGTCCCCAGAATATGAACCTGTGTGGCTACAGACACCAAAGTGCTTCCAAAGAGTTTAGCCTAGAAGCATACACAGCGCCAAAGCTGCCAAAGGTAGTGCAGAAGATTTAAGCCTCCAAGTGGTAGCAAGCAATATATTTTACATTGTAACCACCTCGACATTCCTGCAATTGCTTCCGAAGCTTCTGGTAGTTTTAGAACAGCATTTGACTTGAGAAAAAGCACAGTTTTTAATGCACCCTTCCCTGCTCTTTAACGTATGCTTTATGTAGGTTTATCACAGGTATACAGCTTAATGCTCACAGTGTCCCGAAGTTGTGAAGACTCTGTAACAGACAACTACACGTTGGGAAGCTCAGGTTGGGTTTTGTTTCGAGTCAATCCATTATTGAATCATACTGAGGGGCTAGCAGCTGGTCCCCCGTAGTGCTACATACCGTACGGGAGCTCACATGCATCTCTTCATGGGGAGCATCCACAGCACTAGATTTGATCCTGCTGGTACCGTGCTTTTCATCCCTGCTCCGAGCTCCAAAAACCTGCAGATTCTTCACTATTGTACTAAGTAACAAGGATATTATCTCTATTTTATTTAAGTTATGTAGTTCTCAAGGATGTTATGTGCTCTACTGGGTACAGCAAATCTTCCTGACAAAGAAACTAGGGGGGAAATGAAGAACCAAAAGGTGCCTTTGAAAATTAGTGAAAACATGATGATTTCAGGTGCAGCTTTATGGACAGAATGCAACAGTATCTCAATATTTGGCAATCCAACATTAGTGCTAATGAAATCCTTGATTGTTGACCCATAGACTTGGTGTTAAAATCGACTTAGAAAAGCTGGTTTTTGCTATCAACAAAACCAGTGACTGGCTTGGAACGAAATCTAGGAGCTGGATGTCCAGATGAGATGAGCGATTGGTTCTGTAATTTCAGTATATGTCTGGGCAGTCTGAGAAATTCCTATCAAAATAGCCACCTGAGTACAGCCAATCTGAAGTCCCAGTGTAGGGGTTAGTGCCTTGATGAAACCATCTGGAAAACAAAAGAAAGGAAAAGGAAAGAAACAAGGGAAAAAGCAAATAGAGTGAGCAGTTATTAAGAGGGGAAAAAAACCAACTTGCTTCTTTCCTAAAACACTATTTCTTATGAGAAAATGAAATCTCTCAGGAAATAGCCTGAGCATGAAAAATAAGGCATTAAACCTCCTACACAGTTATCACCACCTTGTAAAGCACCTTTTCTATGATTATTTTTAACCTAAAGGAGGAAAGAAAGGGCTTTCATCCTGTCCCATTGCAAACAAAAAGAACACTGATAGTCTAGATTAGATAGATTCATTTTACTTTAAAGGAATGCCAACTCCCTTCCACGATCCTTTTTGTAATCCTGCCCAAACAGGAAGGAGCCTGGTTCTGGGGAGCTGTACTCTGCAAGAACAGATGCTCCCTTTTTAGCCACGTTGACTGAAAACAGTGCTATGTTTTCTGGAAGAGATTTTCAAAGGCATTAACTGGAATTAGGCTGTAGCTGCTCCTCCAGGCTTTGGGAAGAGAACATCTCTGGAATTTCAGGAAATCATGGGAGCATCCCAAAGTTCTTGCCTTTGAAGGAAGCACCTGCAGGAACTGGCCATGAGCATGCACTTGACTGCAGAGCACTGGTGTCTGTGTAAAGGAACCAGCAGGAGCAGGATCCAGATCACACATCCCTGATGCATTCTGTGACAGGGAAGTCACTCAAATATGCAATAGAAAAAGCAGTTTCTGAAGTATCCAAGGCAAGAAGTCATAAGAGTGAAATAAAAGACCTCAGGGGGCCACAGTGTCTTACTGAGCTGCCAAAAGCTGGACAGGACTTGGTTAAAGAACAGATTAGACTTCACATTTTATTCATTCTAATGAAAATATGCCATCTGCAGGTTGTAGAAAACAAACCCAAAGAAACCCAACATTACCACAGCACTTCATTAGACAGGCTTCAGCATTTACCACTGGATAACTTTGTCCTGGAGAAGTTATGAGCAATTTTGGCTTCCAGCTACACTGAGTTGTTGACCCAGCAAATTTGCTTTAGGTGACATTAGTGCTGCCATGCAGGAAATCAAACACACTGTCTTGAATCAACACCCTTCAAGCTGCGCACCAAACCATTCCAAGCATTAAACAAAAGCCCAGCTTCCCTCCCCTTACCGTGTGTGCCACTCCACCTCATCCTTCGCGCGCTCCTTGCGAGCAGCTCGCTGTTTCTCCTCTAGTCTCTCCTTTTCTTTGCTAGCCACATCTAACAAACACGTCAAGAAGAGACTGGTTACTTTGCAAAACAGAAACGGAAAAGCAGAGAACACAGAAGAGACTGCAGGGAAATGAAATACAGCTCATGTAAGCAAGAGAAAGCATTTGCTGCACAAAATCTCACTGAACAACAACAATCTCACGCACCAAAACCCCTCAACTGTCATTTGAGAACAGTTGCTACTACAAACACAGTGTCAAAAATGACATTTGGGTGGTTTATCTCTCAGAAACACTGCAGGAAAGAACTCAGATTAAGCATAATAGAGAGTGACTCTTTCACTATTTGGCCATGTGGTTTTGGTGACAAACACCAGAGCACGTCTGTTCACCACATGTCTTTCCAGACAAGCTCCAGAGCAAGAGAGCATGCCTGCCAGTTTCCCCCAAGCTAGCAAACATGCAAATACACCCTAACAGAGGACAGCAGTCCTGGGATCCACTCTGGACACATTTTCTGGGAGAACACAGACATTGTTCAGATGCATGTTCAGTACCACAGGGTGAAAATGAGTTCAGGCTGCTCTGGGAATGAGAAACTGAAGACTTGTATCAGGAGCTTCCCACCAGCCATCCCCCTCAAGACTTACTAATGTGAAAGCATCTCCTGTAGCAAACACGTACCCATGTTCCCATTTTCCATGTTTCTGATATCTGGACGTAGCCGGCAGTCAGTGGGAGCTAAGATCGCCTCCATGCCCTTCTCCAGCTCATTGAGGCTCACAGCAAAACTGGTGAAATTGTACATCTGAAAAGCAAAGCAAAGGTAACGCACAAGTTACTTCAGCAAAGAGCCACTGGGTTCCCTCTACTGAACAGATACAATGGAGCTTCCAAGAGCAATTGCTGAGTCAAAGCTTCCTGCACTGACTGCCCTGGAATCAAGGTTACGCTCGTACAAAACTGCACTTGGAGGGGAGGGACAAGGAAAGGCAAAAGAAGGGATGGAAATCACAGCTTTGATTTTTTAAGCGCTTTGATTCAGAGGATTAACACAGATTTCCTTCCTATCTGACACATAACAGCATGATTTTTATACAGAACAACAACCAACACACAAAAAAACCCAAACCAAAAACCCATCCGCACCTAAAGGACCACAGCCTCTTGTTGAAACTATTGAAGTTAATACCCAGCTGCCCAGTGACTGCATTTTGGAAGCCTGTCTTTTAACAGCAGGGTCAGCAGAGGGAATGTGTTTCCCTATTTTAGGCACCCTAAGTGCAAAGATCTCTCACACGTTCACCCACGCCACCAGGCCCACGCTGAAGCAGCTGCAGTCACAGCATGCGTTCCTGCTACCACCTTTGACACAGCAGTGATGCTCTGAGCACAGGAACAAAGCACAGAGCTTACTGTAGTGTAATTTTTCAGCTGTAGCAAGAACTGCCAGAGCCTGTCAATGTGCATCCGAAGGTCAGACACTTCAACAAGATCTCCCTTCAACATCTCTCATGTTCCCTTGGATAAATCAGGAGCGATAGCGACGCACAGACTGATTGAAAAGGTTACCTGCGAGGAGTTTGGTGGCCTGCAATTTATTCTCCAAAGTAATTTACTGCCTGGTATGAACTGCACCGTGTCTTGAACCTCTGGCATATCATCAGCCTCATCATTTTCAGATTTAATAACATCTTCACTCTGGAACAGAGATAGCATTTGGCAGGGGAACAAAAGGAAATTGGACAGTTTCATCTAGAGCTCTGCAGTGACTGCTGAAGAATCTGTTCTAGTCTGAGATACTAAACACTCTCCTGTACTTCTGCTTCACCCCTCCTGCTTGCTTTTCCTCACTGTGTATACTGATCCTCTCATTCTTATTGTAATGTCTTGCTCCTGGTGTCTCTGATTAGTCTCCCACCAACTTCAATGCCTGTTTACAGTAGTAAACTAATGTCTTTCAGAAGCCTTTTCTGTGACTTCCATTCTATTCCATGCCAGCCTTAATTTCACCCAACATGGTTATTACTCCTTCAGGCTGAAGTAAGCCAAGACTGCAGCTTAAACCAGTTCCCATAATGGCCTAAACTGACAAATAGGATGCGCCTGCTTGTGGCTACTGCTTCCTCATTTGCAGAAGATGTGGATGTGCAATTAAAACCAGGTCTGCCCTTGTTTCAGACTGATTTCCTATGATCTAGATTCTGGTAACTATCATCACTGCCATTTTTCTCACTCCAAAGACTGCGCACTTAAGTTTATAAATACAATATGCTTCCTTCAATGTGCCTTTGTTACCAGATGCACTGCTCTAAGGCATATCTAAAATCAAACTCAGTATTCTGCAAGAGGCTGCCCTTAGGATCTGAGAGACTCTGCCTGTGGTAGGACACAGCTACACTGTGGCATTTCAGAGGATTCCACCATAGGAAACCATTTAAAACCACAACCACCAGAAGAGAAGTTTAAGGCAATAACATCCTAGAGCGACAGTGTCACAGTTTTCCTCCCTCCCCTCACTCCCACCCACCCACCCTGCTTTCTACTTTCTTTCTGCCCCCTCTGACACAACCCATTTATTTTATTCAAGAACACCCTATTAAATTAAGCAGGGCCTGGTTTATACACTAGAAAACAGCTCCATATGGTTAAGAGACTAATTTTCAGTCATTGGGTTTGAGTAGTCATTATTTAAAAAGACTCTTTTAGGCTACTCTCCATGTCAACATCTGGTTTACTGTTAAAAGAGTTCCCCAACTAAATATAGATCCAACAGGAAGGAAGGAAGGAAAGAAAGAGTTGATTTTTGTAAGATGAACAGAACCTTATTATATAAAGAAAAAAGTCAAAATACAAGGCTGTACCACGATGGAATCCAGAGCCAAAAGCAAGGCCTCTGGATTCTTCTCATGTGAAGGCTTTTTAATACAAGCTTAAGCCTCTTAATGTTAAGAGGGATTAGATTTTGTTTAGTTTATCATTTTCAATGAACAACTAGGGTCTGCAAGGCCTTGCTGACATCAGGAAACCCAAAAGTCTTCTGCTGCACCATGTAACACTGAGGCTTTGGTGGTAACTCACCCAGCACTACTCACATGTGATGAAAAAACCCCACATGCTTCCAGACCCCCCTGTTGTCTTGGCTGTCTACATCATATATTCTGAAGGGCTGCATCACCCAAACCCGTAACTGACTTAAACCTGTAATTACTTTTAACATCAAATCCTAGTGTTCTTACATCTGGAGCCGGCAGCAGAGCCACTTTCCTCATACAAGGAGTGGCCAACATCAGCTTGGGGCTGATAATTGATAACTTCCTTTGACAGACTTCTATCAAACACCATCATCCTATGAGCTCTCTTCAACACCAGCAGCTCACACTGAAGTCTACACAAGTTCAAAGTCCAAAGCTTTCTCACAGGACTAGCACTGCTCACATCCAACCCCTACCTAAAGACAGACTGGTTTAACCCTCCATTCACCAACACCCATTTCTGTACAGAAGATGTTTTCCTCTCATTTCTCCTATTTCAGTATCTTTTCTCCCCGAAGAACCCTGGACCTTACCGGCTTCGGTTTCTTCTGCTCACCACCTCTCTTCTCATTCTTTTTGTATGTCTCATACGTCGTGGGGTCAGTGCACCACAGGCATTCTGTCCACTTGCCGTAGATCACACACAGCTTCTTTCTGCTGCAGAGAAAGCAAGGGATATTGAGTTTTCTTTCTTTACAGAGCCTTCTAAGCCAAGTCATACAGATTCTGTTCTATATTCAATACACAGCTTCCTACTTTGTTGTATTTTACTTTTATTTGCAGGTGTCTTAGAAGCCAGATACTTGACAACGCAAAGAAAAGGTTTCAGCTTCATTCCAGTCTTTCTGGCATTCGGTTGTGCAGAACACATCCTCATGACTCAGTCACATGCTGTTGACGCTGTCAAATGAGGGTGGATGCAATAAAGCCAGTAGTTTACAATAGAGAGACTCGGGGTCAAAAAGCAGGTTTGGGTTTGATTAAAAGTTTCCAATAACCACACTGTTGTTATTTTAAGCTGACTGCTGGAATTGTGACTGTACAACAGTGAGATCAGTTGGGAGCACTCTGCGCTTTCCCTGGAGAGCTTTATTTTCAAACACTGCATTGGAGACTTTTTTCTAATAATTCTTAAAATTATCATCCTAAAACCAAGGGGGTTCAATACTGACACAGAGCAGAAGCGGGTTACAACCTGCATTGCCATGTGCCAATAACTGCAGCCACATCAGCTGTGGTCACTGTGCCAGCGAAAGAAACGCCCCAGTGCTCAGAAAGAGAGAAGCCAAACAGCTTTTATCACTTACTTTTTGTCCTGAATGTGTCCCTCTACTCTGTGAAGCTCTTTCCCAAACAGTCCACATGGTTTAAAATTAAGGACACATTTATCTCCAGTGCTGCAAAGGAAACAAGAACATGCTTAAAGCAGCAAGTCCCTAAACACACTGGCAAGTTCACTTTTTTACCTTATTTAGCCTTTTTCATATAGCTGTAGTTAGCTGGGGGTAGTTATAGTACTAGGAATAAAATGGAATGCAGCCTTGCATACTACGTAACTCACACTATTAGCACCTATTTACAGCTAACTGCAATGAGGAACTGCTTTTACAAATCACCTATACAGGAAAATCCAGTGAAGTGCATTCAAAAGTTACCTCTAAATTGCATCTCAAAACTTCTGAACAGTCTACAAGCATAAACTAGCATTCTAGTTCAGCATCTTCTTTGCATTGCGAGGTACACATGTGTAAATAATCTCTCCCAGTGAGGTATCAAGCTAAGTTTCTATGTCAAGCACAAACACACCATCATGGGGGTTTTGTGCAAATAGAGGAGACAGGATTGTAGATTTGATACTATGAGAAATATCAGAACAGCAGCCCTGCTGGATTAAAGCTCCATTCAGTGACAGAAAAACATGCGTAGAAATACCAGTTTTCACAGAATTCTCTCCCTCATCATTACAGGAGTCATTTATAGAAGGTAAAAAGCTTTTAGAGAGGCAGTTGGCAGCAACTGATAAGCTCCAAGTTCACATTACCCTACTCTGCAGCCATTTTTCTGTGCTGTACCCTTCATTCAAGACATTCTCTATTATCAAAACTAAAGAGAGTTTCAAAACCCAATCACAGCCAATATGATGGAGGTTCACTGCAAGCCTCTGACAATTATTTAATGGTTCTGGAGTTTACATTTAATCCCTGTTCTCTGTCAACAGGGATGAATTTGAATGGGGAACTGACAAATACACATCTTTGCATCCCATAAGCCATCAAGCCTTATGCCTTTTCATTAGTATTTTTATGATACTAAGTCCAGCCCAAGGAATAGACTGCATATCAGAAGTTGGGGGGGAGGCAGAACTATCTGCCTTGTAGGGACTGTTGCATGGCTGCTCCTCTTACAAGCCAGCCCTCAGCTTCATGATCAGCATTACCTGTGATTTACAATCTCCACTGTTCCGTATTGTTCTAACCACAGTTTACCAATAATTACATTATGTACACAACAGGTTGGGTTCGTCCATGTGTAAGCTTCATTATGTCTGTAAAGAAAACAGAAATAAATAATTTGCTTGTGCTTGAGCTGGAATGTAAACACGGTCTCAATTCTGTTCATGGCAGGGCAGAATATTTAGCACTCCTGTGACCAGCCAGCAGTTGAATTCATAACAGAAAAGAAACAGACTTTTCTTTATGAGCCAACAATGTGTGTATCTAAACATTAGTGCAAGTTAATACAGTGAAATCCCCTTATTTTTCTTCCCTCTCACAGTTGAAATAGTAAGTTGCTGTGCTTTTCATTACAGATTCCAGCCCAACATAAACACCTTTAATAATTCATCTTTTTCATTTACACTTTCAAAGCTGTATGTGATAAAACATAACACTCATAGGAGAACCAGCTTACAGACTAGCTCCTAATAGTGTCTTCTCTTCAACTACTGCTGCAGCACTGCAAAGCTTCTTCCAAAACCTCTTTCTTGTAAACCTCTGTCATTATCTAGAGTGCCTTTTTGTGATAAAGAGGCACTGAACACGAATAGCTGAGTCTTCCAGCAGAGAAGTTAGTCACTAACAGTTCTGACAAAGGCAGACACTCCTCCTCAAGGGCTGCTCAGAAGAAGGCACTTGAATCATTCTACAAACACTGAGTGCTAAAAGGCTTTTGAACCTGAAGAGTGTGACAGGAGTCAGTAAACTGCATACAGATACCCCACTAGTTTGGGGGGGGGTTTGGTTATCGTTTAACACCAGTAGGAATCAGTAGCACTATACTCAAGCTTCGAAAACATGACATTTAAAAACCCCATTCATTACTCAATTCTATCCTTTTCCCAAAGATTTACTGAGAAGAAAGAGAAGCGTTAGAACTGAAGGATTTCCCACTTTGTTTCTGTTAGTACACTGTCTTAGTATGGAGAGAACACTCCTATTTCATGTTTATACCCAGTCTATCATTTTCTAGCAAAGAAGAAAAACAGATCATTGAAGCCTGACTGTTTTCCACAGCAACTTTTCTTCAAGCATACTTTAGGACAATGACTACTCATCAAGTAGGGGAAAAATTCCAGAACCCCCCCAAATTCATCCCACCAGCCTTAGCACACAGCTTCATTCATGAACTACTTGACACCCAAAGCTGCACAGTGTAAAACAAACCACAAAACACTCATGGACAGTGCTGATAAACTGAAACACTTCTTTGTGCTGGAGAAGTGAGGAACAAGTGTGTTTTCTAACATGTGTTTTGCTAACAGTCATGGTTAACCTAAATGCAGTGCTTTACACTGACTTGCAATTTTGCTTCCTGAGCAGTTACTTGTCCGCACAAGCCCTGAGCAGTTTTCAGACTCCTCACCCCAACAGAACGGGATGAATCACAACACTGAGAGGATCAAAATTTGATTTCTACTTCTGCTGCTAACTTGAAGCAATTATTTAAAGTAAATGCTTTAATGGTTTATATTCCAGTTTAAATCTGTGCCCTGTAATTTGATTAGGCTGAATGGGACTTTAAAAGTCTTCTAATAAAGGCTTCTCTCTCAAGCAACAGACTTCATTTTTGTCACATCCACACTAACATTCATAGTTCCTTTTACATTCAGAAGAAATTTATTTTATTTTCATTACCATTTACATCCAAGAGCAGTTCATACTTTTATAAGCTTTGGAAGATTCGATGCCAGCAGCTTGAGAATTAAACTGTACCTTCAAAGGAAACTACAGGCAAAGTCAACACTTGATACAGCAGACAAGTTGACTCCTTACTGAAACCAAATGCATAGAAACTTCCTAAGACAACATTTCAAACAACCTTTTGGGAAAGCTTTTAGGAAAGCATCTTTCAGGGTTCAACTGCAGAGTAATTTTTCTGCAGCTATTACCTTGTGTCTCCTTGTGTCCTACCTGGGAAAGGCCAAGAATCATTGTGCCACCAGGACACAAACTAACTTACACAGACTCAGGTAGTTTCTGAGAGGCATCTACTATTACAGACAGAGCAATCTGGAAAGGCATTCTTGATCTTAATGGGAAGGTGATCATACACAGGGAGTTTTAAACAAGTGACAAGGCAATTCTAACAGGTTCCTCACCTTCCCTTCCCACATGGAACAGCTATTCTGAAGATGCAGTTCCTTCCACACAAAGCCAACAACAATATGTAAGCAAGACAAGCTTGAACAGCCCAGTAATAGAATTTTATCTCTCTAAATTTGACATGCCTTCACAGCACTGGCTTTCAGTAGCATTCCATTCTTAAGAATTACTATGTTTCACAATGGGAAAACTGGGTCGCATTGCTCCAACTACACAAGTGTGCCGTAACTTAAAACAAGCAAAGCCCTGAAATTAAGCAGTTAAAATTAACTTGTAAGAAAGTCTTATAACCTCTTCAGCAAGATCACCACCTATGAAAACGCAGTATGTTCAAGTTAATGTTAAGGAGATCAACATAAAGGTATTTACTTCTCATACTCACTTCAGAAGCTCCAAAGTAATTGTTCCCCGGGGCTCTGCTTCTATACTCTTTCCCCAGAACTTTAGTTTGGGATAGATTGATCCATGAAAAACGAAATCCTTATTGAGGCCTTCAGAATAAAATGCACTAATAGGCGGGTGGTGGCTGACTTGTTCAGATATAAACCTAAACCCTAAATCCTCCCTAGAAACAACAACAAAAAAAGAGCATTAAACAGTAAGTAGGTTTTTTAATGTTACAAGAGAAAAGAGTTACTCAGTGCTTTAAAAATGTGAAGGATTTTTAGATGAAGCTGAAGTGAGACTTTTCTAGTCCTATGACACATTTACAATTAATGCAGTGAAAGAATCAGTACTCTGAATGCTTTCTCTTTATACCCCAAACCCACCCACATTCAAACACCTGAACAACTTGCTACCCACAAATGCATCTGAAGATGTTTCACTGAAGTAACTCATGGAAATACAGGAACATTTTGGGCAGCAGCAACAGGTCTGCCTGAAAATCCTTTTCTCTGCTGCAGACACATCACTCATTCATTTAAGCAAGCTGGAGGCCCTTCAGAGTTACTCTGATGTGATCCATCCAACATCATCAGCAAACCCTATTTAAATTAAGAGTGTCTGGTCAGGAAATATCTTTGGTAGAAGAACAAGGACCACTTTTTATCACAGAATCCTAGAATAGTTCAGGTTGGAAAGGACCTTAAGATCATCCAGTTCCAAACCCTGTGCCATGGGCAGGGACACCTCACACTGAACCATGTTACCCAAGGCTCTCTCCTGCCTGGCCTTGAACACCACCAGGGATGGAGCATTCACAACGTCCCTGGGCAACCCATTCCAGTGCCTCAGCACCCTCACAGTAAAGAACTTCTTCCTTATATCCAATATAAACTTCCCCTGTTTAAGTTTTAACCCATTACCCCTTGTCCTATCACTACAGTCCCTAGTGAAGAGTCCCTCCCCAGCATCCCTATAGCCCCCCTTCAGATACTCTGCCTAAACCTAGAAATAAAATTACCAACTTGAATAACAACTTCTCAAAGATTCTGAGGTAGCCTGAGGGCAAAAAAGAGTTTTAGATCCACTCAGCATATATTTCAGTAGATTTTTATGTATTTCACCGAATAAACAACCAAACCAGCATGAGAGTCTGCTACAAACACACAAATAGCCCCAGCTCCTTATTTGAAGTAATTATTACCTGGTTAATTCATAGGTTTCTCCTAACAGCGGGTTAAATGGTTTGCCAGTTCTCTCCCACTGAGAAGCTACAGCAGAAACTGCAAAGGCAGCTACAGCCTGGAAGCAAATTAAGAACACACAGTTAGGAGAACAGAATATTAAAACTCTAAGTTTAATGTATTTGTTGCACATTATGATATTTCATTATTCTTCCAAAAAGGAAATGCTGTGTATTGCTTCAGGCCAAAATATTTGTAAGCCACATGAGATACAGAAGTGAGCAGTTAACAAGAATCTCATTTCCAAAAGGAATTATTTGCTGTACTTTTGTCACATTTCACTCTGTCCCGTGCTCCTCCAACTACCTCAAAGAGGGCAGGCTGTTTTCTTAAATCTACTTTTCTCCTTTTTTGACTGTTCTGCACATTCAGCTCACAGAGAACAGAGCTTTTCTAGTGTCAGACAAGCATTATTTCTAACACAGATGAGATTTCTTGAACCATACCAGCAAGTACATAAGACACTTGGAAGCTCCTGCTTGCTGAAAAGCTGTAGTATGTGCTACACAGAGTACAATATGTACATTCCAGCTTCAGTTTAAGCAGAGCTATGAGCAACACCACTATAACCTAAGGTACATAGGCCTGGCTTTACCACATTCATTTCCCTGTTGCGAGACCAGCCAAGTACTATACTCCCAACAACCATCAGTTTTGGAGGAAAGAGTGGCAAAGCTTGTCTCAGTCACAGCAGTTTTTTATTCAGTAACTTAAAAACCATGGAGCTACCAAACAAGTCAATTTAGGGTGACTTAAAGCCAAGATTTCATCTTCACAACACATAAAATCCCAAAGTCCCAGTGAAAAGAAGTCCTGAAAAGGTTGAAATCCTTGGACATCATCAGTTGTGCCATCTCCTGCATTAGACTTCTGCCTCAAACTCTGTGAGCAGCATCAAGTGTGAAAGTGCCACAGGTATCTGATACAGCCACCGTGAAACAAGAAACTTGTCTAGAAAGACAAAATGGGCATTCTTATGATAGCCCCAAAGAATAAAGTACTTCCTCAAGTGAGAAAATGTCTTAGAAGACTCTGGGAGAGAAAATCTTCCTCTCAACTAAGCAGAAGGTGGTAGCTGTTACTTACCTGCATTCTTTCCAGGGGGTCTGCATGACTACAAGCCTTATTTATGAGGTATATATGTTCCATATATTCTGTTATCCGTTGAAGGAAACTCAATGGCTCGTTGAAAACAATGGGCATTGTAATTTTAGATAGCTCCTATGTAACAAAAGGACAAGTTAATTCCTTAGACACAACACTAAAGTTAACAACTGACAACAAGAACTGTGAAAGTAAGTTGTGGATTCATTTATTTATAGCATGCTTCAAAAGCCATTTGGCAAGTCTATAGCAGACCTCTAAGTGCTACAGCTGGAAGGGGCTAGAAGTGCTGCAGAACCCCACCATCATCTGAAAGAACAAGCAAAATGGATGCAGCAAACCTAGAAAACTCAAGAAAAATGCTACTTTCTATTCTGTGGTTCCATATGAAACAGAAGTTGTTAGGACTTCCATAGATAGCAGCACTAATGTGCAGCTAGCTCATTACTGATACTTAAGTACCACGCATTCCTTTGAAATCCTCACATACCTATTTGCATAAAATCTAACTATTTTGCTGCAGGAACCACAAATTAATTTTTGAAAGGAACAGTTACATAAAGAATAGCATTTGAATTGCACTAACAAATTTTAGTGGCTTTATTTCAGCAACCTGTTATTTGCATTAGAACGTTTCTCATTTCGCATGTGGATACAAGACAGACATGAACCTCGCACAGAGATTTCCAGTTCTCCAAGTTCTTTTACTATATCCAAGCAAATTTTGTTCTTTAATTAAAAGGCTGCACTCATACTGAGCACTAAAGAATCACGGAAGTGATTAAAACTTAGCAGAAAGGAGAATGCCACCAGATGAACTTCATACATTTTCCTCAGTCTCACAGGTAGTTAAGGAGAAAAGCATTACACTCAACTCACTTCAATTGATTTGGTCCAAGCAAAGCTTTCTAGTGGATAGGTCACTCATCCTAACAAAAGGATGTTTTGACAGTACAGATGTATTTCCTAGGTGACATAAGGTAAGCTAACAGAAGGGCTACCCACTTGTCTGCTGCATTCACAAAGGATTGTACTGGCGGACCTAGGCTAGAGATAAAAGTAAGGATAACGCTTCTAAAGAGCAGCTATGGCAGCACAGCCCTCCAGTGTAGAACATCCCTTTCATTCCTAATAACACTGTAACTGAATTCCTAAAGGATTAAAAGAAAACAGAGGTGATGACCAATAACAATGCAAGCATCAGGGTCCTTTAACAACACAGAGCAATGTAAACGTCTGTGTCCGGGAGTCCAAGACCAAATCTTGTGACCCCATTACATCACACCATTAACACTCCAAGCCTACAGTGGGTTCCATAAGAAATCTCTAACAGATCCCAAACTTTTCTATCCTTTCCATCAAATTAAAGCAATTTTTTTTTTTGGCACAAACTGCTTAAATTATGGAGGGGAAGAAAAAAGTAAAACACCAAACCAAACCTCCCCATCACACCAAAATAAAGCCCTGAAATCACATTTTGCTACGTAAAGAATAAAAAAAGGCAGAAAAAAGCACTGTGTTAATCAAAGCACACTGGACTATATTTGTAATGGCTTTAGTCCAGTTCTTATAGGACAGCATTACAAATGTACCAATCCACATGGTCTAACTGCTAAAGAAGGTAAGGAAATAGTACTGTTAGCAAATGGTAGAGAGTTAGTAAATTCAGAGTTGCAGTTTAAGATGATGCTCCCTACAGGACAAAATGCAAAACGTACCACATACTGTTCTTAAGGTTTCAGCAATAAAATGAGCAGCTGAAGTGAGGAGCCCTGACCTCAGCATGCTTCATCCAAGCTCACTTACCAGTCCAATGCATTTTTTTAGTATGCTCCACACACTAAAATCATTCCTAGAAAACATTGGGGCAGGTAACGACGTCCTGTAAGTGGAAAAATCAATTGTCACTATCAGCCCCTTATCCAACAAGTCACTTTCAGTTGCAGGTATTGAAGTACTTTATGAAAGAAGCAAACCATTAACCTACAGTTGACTTAAGAAGCAGACAACAGAATGTCTTTCCAGATGCAGAGAATTAAGCTCTTCCAATGAGAACAGTAATGCCCCAAAAGACAATGAGCCAGCACTTACTCAGTTCTCATTCACTGTGTAGTAGTATGTGTTTACCTGTGTCTCTTAATTCCATTTTCCTGGATCTCTGTCTCTCCGTTGTGCTTCCCAGTCCTATCGCTTTGGTGTGGCTCTAGATCAAGCATTTCTGCAACTTTATGATTTGCTTCTGAAAAGTCTCCTGAAGAATTGTCGGAATCAAAGCCTGCATAAAAGCCATAAGAAATCTGTTGCATTCATTAGGAACCTTATTATGCCCCAGAGTGCCACTCACATTTTATAGCTTTCACAGCATAAGTACACTTACATCAGGTTATTTAATTTTAAAGAATATCAGCATAAAAACACTTTGTTAAGTGACCTCATGTCCAAAGAGTATTTAGAGCCAAGTACTGCATTAGAATCGAGCATTCTCAACTCCTTTTTCACACTGCTGAATATAAAACCAATTTAGAAGCTCACAGGTTCTTCAGTGGGCCCTAATCAGATTCATTGCATTGTCTCCAGAGCTGCGCTGTGATTACAATAATTTTGCTCAGTTATGAAGCTTTTCTCAAAGAACTTAAAACCACTTAAATTCACCTTCTTACACTGCAAACAGGCAAGGAGCAAGTAAAAGAGAAAAGGGCAATTTCAAGATCCAGCAGCAAACATGCATACTACCAGAGCAAAAGAAAGGTAGGCTATCTAATGCAACCTATTGAGCAAACTGGGCTAGTGAAAGGTGTCCCTGCCTATGGCAGGGGCTGGAACTAGATGATCGTAGCTCCCTTCCAACCTAAACCATTCTGTGATTCCAACTTCTTTTTGCCATCCACGTGTGCAAACTATGTAATACTTCCCTAATGGTTACAGCAAGAACCTGTGGACACCAGGTGTCATTATTCCCTGAGCCCTACAAGCAACTGAAAGCATGACCTAGAGTAGGTGGCTCCATTTCCTATCACCCAGTTCCATCCACTTGGGTAGACAGCTACTGGAACATTGTTGTAAGTAAACGCCAGCACCCCCCATAACAAAATGCTTTGAACAGCTTTAATAAAAGAAAGTTAAACCAATGGGAACCTAGAGAACACAAACCTCTGTCATCAAGCAGCCCTAAGCACTAGTTGGATGAAACTGACTGCAGAATCAACTGCTAACAACAAATAAGGATCAGTTGCAGCACCAACACAGAGCACCCTAAAATGACACATTAATATAAGCCTCCTTCACAACTGTTACAGCATCACAATGGAAAGCACTGCTCATCAATCACTGTAGTAAAGGAATATCTTTGTTGAAAATTACTCAAAGAGCATGAAATCCTTTCTGAGTGCCACACGGGTCAGTTCTTCATCAGGAACCTCAAGATGATTTCAGTTTCCAGCTTCCAATTTAACAGCCAGAGTCCAAAAGCAACCTGAAAACAAGTATTTTCTGGCATACAATTCTTTAAGGAATACTCATTTTTGTATTCCTTCCATTCAGGGATAAAGACCATGACAGTAACATTCAAAACTGCACAAGGAAGTACGATAGGATCTTATTTGGTAAACAGCACCTGTAATGGGTGATGTCATGTGTTAAACCACCTCCTACATTTTGATGTCACAAGCATGTAATTATACAGCAATAACCACACCTTAGCAGCCTTAGTACTTAATTGGAAAGTCTGACAGTCATATACACACACACATACACATATATACGTGTATATATATATACGTATATTATTCAGGTCATTAAAGTGAAGTCTAGCTTCAGTCAATCCACAGCAAAATATTTCTGATTTTAAAATAGCATTTCTAAACACATGTTAACTTGTTTGGGAACCTGTTTCAGTATAAGGAGATGGAAAAGCCAAGTACTGTTGGGCAAAATAGCTTTTAGTCGTTTGTCTGATGAAGCTGGAAAACCAGATAAGCTTTCTGGTACACTTACCCTCCCCCAGAAAGCTGGTAAGTGCACCCAACATGAGAAACAACATCACATTTAATAGGCACTTCAATAAGATAAACACACCTAAATGTAAATGTAAACCTTCACAGCAGGAATAGTCAAATGGTTCATAAGGGAATAGTTATGAAAAATGTTACTGGAATTACATTGTACCTGAAACCTTGCAAATCCCATCAAATGCTCATTGGTTTTTATCCACACAAGTCTTTCTGTTTCTCCATGATTCAGAATTGTTTTGCCCTGTTCCTATTCAGCACAATGGGGAATTTAGATTCAGGCATATGTATTATTTATGGACAAGGATTGGTAAATAAATGTCAGTTCAAACAAGTGTCTCACACACAAACAACAACAATTAATCCCTACTCCAGAAAATAAGATACAGCAGAAGTATAAAGTCTGCTTTATTAGAGTGCACCTCCACCTGGTTACTTTAAACCCCCCCAAAACCCACAACCAACCAACCCAAAACCATCACTACAGTACAAACACAGATAATCACTAGATTTCCAACTATACTTTCAACCTTCAGTATCAGCTGGCTTGTCTACTACAAGCCCATTGAGAAAGTTTTCAAAGGTGTTTCTCAATGAAGTTCTACATATTACAGTTCTGTATAGCTCTAAGTATTATAGTGAAGAACCATCCAGAGAATGTACTTCACAAAGTACTCATCTGGAATACAAACAGTTGACTGACATGATTTGTTGTAGTTTTTCTAAGTTACAGAAAGAACCTTCCTCCAACTGCCATTAAAGCCTTGAACTTGCAAAATCGAGTAGGTAAGTTTTACTTACAGGACAGTGGCAGAAAGCCACTGGGAATGAGGATAAAAGTGGGGATTTGGAAGGGGGATAGGAGACCACACACAGAAATAAGATGTCATAAATTAGCTTAATCAAAAGACCCAACTATATCTGTTAAGGGCTACTTTTAAGTCTTAAATTTTCACAGTCAAAACACTTAAATTGGGTGCCCACATTAATCTATTGCAAGAGCTTAAAGAAAAGTGACTTGCCAGTAACTCTAGTTCTCTTGGCCTTCTTCTTCTTCCACATCCTGCAAGTGAAACAAGTCCCCACAGACTACGCTTTGCACCAGCCTAGGAGGGAGATGAGCAGCACCCGGTCCTATGAGTCATGTACAGAGACACAAGACCTCCCCTTTCATACAGTCAGCAACTTCCTTAAAGGCTAATTAAGCTCTGTCACTCAGCCAGGAATCAAAACAGCCCAGCACTGAGAACAGCACTGAGAACCTCCAGACCGAAAAAGGATATAAGCAGTAGGGATAAATCCACTGAAGTGCAGGTAGTCAGTGAAGCAAGAGGCAAATTTCTTTGCCAGAAATTACCACCCTTCGCTTTCCCAAACAAGTCCATATTCACAACACACGGATGTGGCATCCTGGCCTTTCACAGAGCCACAACACTTAAAGGTTATGGCAGAACCCACTGATCCCGTTTGATTCAGACGTTATGAAAACAGAAATCTGGCAGCAGATACCTCACTTCCTCCTCCCCAGGTGAAAGCAATAAAGTGAACAACAGGCAAGCAACAGGAAACAGGACAACATCCTCACCAATACACCAGGCTGCATGAACCTGGCACACACCATGATTTCCATGGACATGCAGGTCAATACTTTCCAAAGCAAAACTAAACTATTCATGTTTGTCAAAATCAATTACCCTGGTAACTGGCCAAGCACTTTCCTGTTCTGTGGCAATCCTTCCACAAAGCACTTTGGCAAGCAGGTATCTGACAGAACTAATAAAAGATACAGTTCTGACAGAGCAGAACCTGATGGCACAGTCTTTAAGAAGCCTGTGATGAGATTAATGAACCCAAGGTGACGCAGGCTGGAGGCAGTGATCAAAGATGTGTGCTCCCCATCTCAAATGCAATGTCAAGGAATATGAAATTCAAAGGATCAACCCCTTCATCTGATCCAGTCTCAGAGAAAGCTACCTCCTGCATCTCAGAAAGCGCAGAATTAACTGACACCACAGGTAATTCCCAAGGGATTCCCAAGGGGAGTACTCATTCATGAAATAAGGATGTCAAGTGTCCAACTAATGAGCAATGTTAATAACCTCTGCAAAGAAACTTCTCTCCATGGAAGCTCTTTACCAGTCACTAACTCAATTCATCACCCATGTAAATGTGCAGGATGGACTGTGTTAGAAGTGTAGTCATCACCTAGTCAGGGCCAAACCATGTGCCAGGAGGATGATTCCCAGCCACACAGCATGTAATTCCATCACATGAGCATGTCTTCTGGATGTGATGGGGACAGTGTCAGAAGCAGGAAACTTGCAGGCAAAGAGATAAAATCCACCACAACAAAACCCAGGGGTCTCCTTAGGATAGATTCATCTTCTAGAAGTGCATGCCATCAGTTAATAACTACAGGAAAGCTGTGGCTTCCTCAAGGAAGGAGGATCCATTAGATCCTAAAAATCTCAGCAAAGCACTGTGTGAAAGACACACAGCCCATGGTGCTAACAGGAGCGAAGAGTTGCTACGGGCATCAGCACTTCAGGAACATAAATGCAGAAAGACCTTCTTACAGTTGTTCTTAATGTTCACATCACATTTATATTATTTGGACAAGACACAGCTACAAAGAACTAGGCCTCGACTTCACTAGGTTTGTGCAAGTAATCCTTCAAACTGTCTTCAGCTTCTAAAGCATCCAGATGGGGAAAGAGATTGAGCACCTGTCTTTAAAGCCAGTCCTGAGGGAGACAGAATCTGAAACCACCTATTCCAAACTTAGGGTTCCTCTTAAACCTGTGGGACACACTCCAGGGCAACATATATAAAGGAAAAAAGTTCAAGCTCATTTAGTTCCTGTAGTGGCTACTGCAGACCCAACTCCTCAGAAGAGGGCTGTGCATAGGCTGTGTCTCTGCCTATAGAGACAACAGGTATTCTTATGCTTAGAAAATTCTCTCCTGCCATCACACTCCTCCCTGTGGAAGAATGAGATTAGGACAGGACAAGGAGCGCTCACAGAACTGATGTACAGCATCCACTTTTGAGCAGAGCCAGCCAAGATTGCCAAGTACAAGAACAGCTCACACACAATAGCTCAGAAGTCATTACCACCTGGAGCAGCTGCAGGGAGAATCAACCTTCTGAGGTCAAGGACAGGGAAAAAGAGGAGGAAAGATGACAAAACCAGAGTGTTCAAATGCAGATGATTCAAGCACCAAGTGCTGTGTATTTCTGCAGCAAGAGACAAAGGAATGCATCAACATCAAAGCTATACACACAGACCTCAGAGCCACGTTTCTGTTCACCTTTTTCAGTGGGAAAAAGGTCTAGTACATTTATGGCTGTGGTCCTGAGCTCTCAGAACTGAAACATTATTAAGACATACAGGAACAATACGCTGTGTTCAAGATTTGTACAGTACAATGACTTGATTTCACAGCTGGATTAGGAGCAGCAGCCCCCATGACTCCCAGCATGAATGCAATGCAAACATCCTTATCTGCTCTGTGACATACTTGTGACAAGTCCTATCCAGCCCACTGTCAGTCACGCTGCTTCACCCAGCCTCCTCTGTTTACTCCTTGTCATATGAATCTCCAACCGACCATGTCTAAGTCTACCTTACCACTTGTATCTTCCATGCTACTTCCATTCCTTTAGCTTTCATGCTTCCCATTATACTCTTTGTACTCCTGTGATTCTACATTAAGCAGTCAACACTCACCACAGCCAGCACTTCTCATTTCACCTCTATTTCAGGACTTCTGAGGAAACATTTAAGTGGAAAACTTTAAACTTGTTTGAGATCCTTGACAGGATTTCTTTTTTATTATTAAAATACTTTGAGCATTTTATTTCACCATCAGAACCATATCGTAAATAACCATTCATCCTTATTAGTTCAAAGAAAGTTCCATTTGATATACTGCTCAAGTGTGAAGTGATTCATGGTTGCTTTCCTGGAAACAGCAGTGGATTGCAAAGGCTTTTGGCTCCCTTTTACATACTGTAAAAGCATACTTTTACAGTAATTTCTTCCTGACCAGAAAAACACTTTCTACTTCAATTCTTTAGGATAAGTTTTCCATTAAAAGAAAGAAATGAATAAAATAACAACAAAAATAATCCATGGAAGACATTTCACCTTTCAAAAGGTCTTAAAATTATTACTTCTCAAGCTGCTATTAAATTACCTGCACAGAAAATGAAAGCTAGACTTGGCCTCTAAAGGACTGTTATAAACTGATAGCCAGAATTAAGCTTTAATCAAAAAACCCCACCTCATTTCCAAGTCTGAACCTGAATTATAATCCTTCCTTTCTTCTATTCAGAAAACAGCACAGCAAGCTCCACCAGCAGCAGTTTACTTTTTATTTATGCATTAACAGCAATATATTAGCAATACACTACCAGCTCCTCAGCACACACACAGTGCAGTCTGTGGCTGGCACTGTGCCTGTCACTCACCCGTAACGGCATCATAAAACTCTTCTTCACTATTCATCCTTCAGTGTGAAATCGCTGTGCAGCCACTCCAGCTTCCTCTAATGCATCGTTGGACTTGATTTAGAGATGAAGTATCTGTGTGCTGTCCAAGTCTTCTTTTGCAAATACCCAGCTGCTGTAGAAGATCTATTTGACAAGACAGGAAAGCAGAATTAGCAACTTCCACATTTCTGATGTGCACAAATGCACACATTTGACAAATACTAATTTTCCTGTTTCTTCCCATGGTAGAAGATGTGTTTCTGCATTCATAACTAAACTGCCTTCTTTGTTAACAAAGTCATTCTAAAGACAAATACTACCTACCACAAGAACAGCTGATGTATTATACCACACTCGTCTCTCTGAATACATCATATACATTACTGTAAAACATCTTATTTACTGTAAGGTAATTTCAGGCAAGTACAGCCAGAAGGAGCAGAAGGAAGAATAAGACAGCTGGCAGAACAAAACTTCTCTTCAGCAGGAGGATGAGCCCTTCTGCATCCTTAACCTAGAAAGCTGGGAACAAAGAAGAGAACCTGACATTTCAGAATCAGTGTTGCATAGGAACACTGGGCCTCACTGTACATAATGCAACCAGCATCCAGTGACCATCACAGAAGCTTTGTCAGGCTACTGCTGTGAACCCTTGAGACAACTGGAGATGTTCCTCTTTAGAGGGAGAGTGTAAAGAAACAACAGATTTCCTCAGTGAAACCAAGCAAACTGCAAGTAACTTACAGATTGATGAAGTATTCCAGCTTTATGGACAGACTACATGAGATTTTTTCCAGATGGCTGGCAATGGTGTAACATAAACATTTTTACTTCACCCAATTTTAGGGTAAGGAGAGTGAGGAAATTCAGTTCCCACTCTTTCAAATGTTCACCAGGTACCAATGACAAGCCAAGTGCACGATGATAAACGACAGCATGGCAATGCTATCAATATCTCCTCCCAAACAACCTCAATCTGTCAGCCTCAATTTTTTATGATCCTTGAAGATCCCACTGCTTTTGTGACAGTAGTTTTTCCAGAGTAATTATAACTTGCACAATTCCATTCCAATCAAGAGAAACAAAGCCAGAAGCACACTCTACTCCTAGTAGAAGAGCTCGTCATGTTTGAAGCCAATTCCTTCTTCCTCTCTGTAAGAAACTGAACTGCAGAATTCCTCCTGTGTTTCAAGTCTTTTTACCTCACTGCCCAGAACAAAAGCTTTTTGAATGCCTCAAACGTATATTCCAATTCTCCATTCAGAAGGAGGAGCTAAAATAGCCTATTTTGGAACTCATATCTAAGTCAATGAATGTAGCATTCGCCTACGTCTGACAAGGCAGGACATTTCAGTTTGCTGCTTTTCCTTTAGGAACTCCCTACCTCCTTGCCACTCTCAATCTCTGCACCACACTGAGTACCTCAGCTTCCACATACACTTCAGCAATTTCTTATTTACAAGTCCGCATCTCCACAAGGACAAAACTTACTGCATCTGCTTTTCTTGACTGTTGCTGCAGCGCTGTTGCAATTGCTCTCAGCTGGATGATAGTTTCCTTCCTTTTTCCTGTGCTGTTCTCCAGTCAGAGACCTTTAAACCTTCAACTTTCTTGCTCATCAGCCACAAGTTTCTGACTTCCTCTTGCCAGAGTGCTGCACTCTTCTAGGCAAGGATGCAACAGCCCAAAACACTAACAAGTCAGATGTGAAAGGGAGAAATCCTCCTAACAGTTGGTTCCAGAGCAGCAGCTGGCTCGCATTTCTGGGTGAACCGAACAGCAGAACTGATAACATCATTCTAAATCTGTACTGGAAGTACAAGTCAGTGCACCTATCCTTGTGTTATCTTGCCCAGCAGAAGCCAGTCCCTGACTCTGTAAGAAAAATGCTTGTTCATACCAAAGCTGCTGTCAGCCTGAAGAGTTTCTCCAAACCTCCCAGCCCCACCAGCAATGTTATCTGGAAGTCTCTCTTCCAAGGTCTCCAAGTATGTCCTATCTTTGCAGAAAATCGGTCCTTGAGGATGCAACTATGTAAATCTGTATAGCAGGGGAGGAAAGAGGGAATCCAAAGAAAACTATTGCAATAGAAAACAGGAACCTCTCAGGACAACTGCTGACCCCAGAAGCAATTATCAGCGCACTGGAATGAATCCACTCCTTTGCCAAAAATGAAGTTTATATTAGAAGGCTGCTTTAACCCTCCAAGGTACTGTATACTTGAAGATAGGCTGAGAAAGTTGGGGCTGTTCAGCCTGGAGAACAGAAGGCTGCATGGAGACCTCATAGCAGCCTTCCAGTATCTGAAGGGGGCCTATAGGGATGCTGGGGAGGGACTCTTCATTAGGGACTGTAGTGACAAGACAAGAGGTAACAGGTTAAAACCTAAACAGGGGGAGTTTGGATGTAAGGAAGTTCTTTACTGTGAGGGTGCTAAGGCACTGGAATGGGTTGCCCAGGGAGGTTGTGAATGCTCCATCCCTGGTGGTGTTCAAGGCCAGGTTGGACAGAGCCTTGGGTGACATGGTTTAATGTGAGGTGTCCCTGCCCATGGCAGGGGGGTTTGAACTGGGTGATGGTAAGGTCCTTTCCAACCCAAACTATTCTATGATTCTATTCAAAGATGCAAGACGCTTCAGGTTTCAACTGGCTGCAAATACTGCATCCTTTTAGCAAGAGAACAGCCAGTAATTCCAGAAGGAAACTTGATTTCACACAAGACACTGCCCTCTCATGACCAGTGCTACAATTCCCTCACTTTCACCATGTTTTCTTGCCTCTTCCCTTTTTATTGAAGCTCCTGCAGCAGGACTAGCCTATTGCTGCACACAGCTCATGCAATGGGGTTCTGGTCTGAAGCAGCCTTGAATGTACCCGCAACACATAAAAAGGAGCTAGTTCAAAACCCATCCCTGCTCAGGTTCAGTTCAAATGCAAAGAGCACAAGTCCTCAGGCTCCCTAAACAAACAGCCACGTCGCATATCAGCTTGGCAAGCACCAGAGATGCTCTGTAACAGCAACTCTGGTATGCTGTAGCTTTGTATAGAAGGCACTAAGACATAAAACATATGATTTAAAAGATTGCCAGTTATTATTAAGAGCCTTGGAGTAAACCAGGTCACAAAGATGAAGACCAGCTTCTCTGCTCCCCTCTCCTGCACGCTAATAGCTGCATTACAAAAGGCCTTGTGAAGCGGAACTACATCACATAGAATGCAGTTGCACTACAAAGGCAATGAAGCTTTCCTCTGAAAACACAAGTACAAATGGAGGAACTAGAATCAAAGACTTGAGTTAACTGAACGCCAGTTACTGTGTTCTCCTGATACGCACCTCACACCACAATTTGAGCTCATTCTATTTGAAAGTTCAGTCATATCCCTTTAAGTTATATACAAGCTTTGTAACTAGTACCTAAATTACAAAATAATCATGGAAGTCACTTTAAATAACAATCACAAATTGTCCTAAGATGCTAGAGGCACTTCTAAAAGGACAAAGTAATATATTTTGCATCAGTTACACTAGGAATAACGTAACACTCAGATCACTTCTTTTACATTCAGTTCTTTTATTTAGCAGAAGTTACTGTGAATTTGCATGTAGCTGAAGACACAATAACGGCATTTAGCTTTCATGAGCCAAAAAGCACGGATTAAGTCCTTTCCTCTTACTAAAAGCAATAGCAAAAAGTTACTCTCAATTAGGCTGAAATGCCAGAAGACAAAAACATCCTGTTTGCTTCATATTCCACATTTGTAATCTGCATTTCCTCCCCATGTCCATGATGTACTCAGAAGAACTCACTTACACACTGGCAACTGCAGTTCACAGCTCTTACCAAAATTGCCTTTCAAGGAAAGGTGCGATGCTCCTGTGTCTGACAGACCTTCAGGAGCTTAGGACCAGCTGCCATCAGCTGTATTGTCACTGATGGCAAAGAGAGACTTCATAGAAACCATTTAGCAAATAACAGGAAAAAGCAGCAAGTGGAGGCCTCTTAAGAGAACTGGAAATTCACAGTTTAAGGATGACAACACAGCACTGGCTACAAGCAACCCAGATTTTGTGGTTTACAAGATAAGCAACAAAGCTCATCTCTTTCCTCACATTTGAAGGCTATGCATTGGTATATACTAATTGGATTTGTTACGGGATTTCTGTGCATGAAATCAAACTGCCACATCTGGGTTTATTTTTGTAATAGCTTCATCTCCTACAGGAAAGATGCTAGTTTTGAAGCTCAAGCTGAAAGACAACAGATAAAAACATCAAATCCATCTAATACCCATCACAACAGTCCAACTTCAACGTTGGCTGGTAAATCTGTACTACAGGCTCTATTCTCTTATATTTTGCCCTGAGAAGCAATCTGTGCTTGGTTGCCCAGAATATTCACAATATGATTTTACTCTTGGAAATAAACTCTAAAGCGAGTGGCAAAGCAATTAACACAAAAGAACAAAGCTGAACAGAGCTTATTGAAGCGAGTCTTGAACAAGTTATTTGGGCAGAACCCAGTTTTTCTAGTCATTTTGCTTATTTGCATGCCAATGCCTCCAATATACAAAACCAGACCAGCAAGAGGATTTGAAGTGAAAAACTTGTAAAAGCTCCTGGTATCATCTAATCAAAGGACTAACTTTGGTTCCTCTAAAACAAGCTGTGCACCTTCATGATGTAAAACCATCCACAAATGGGTTAAACAAGACATTATGCTTTCCACTAGCACAATTTAGAAATGGAGATAGCAATGATGCAATAGAAATGCAGTGTTTGTACCAAACAAGAACCCCAAAACCTGAACAGGTAAGGGATGGAAATACAACTAACTACTACTGACATGGGCATGAAGTCTGTCTTGCACTTTTGTTATTAAAAGGTCTCCCCAGTGCTATACAACTAATCAAAAGCAGGTTACTCATTAAAACTCCTCTAAATTCCCATAATTTACCAGAAAAGGTTCACACATTCCTGTATGACTGATGACCATGGACAGTCCTTTTCTTAAAGGACATGGGGATGTTTTGCAAAGGACAAAACAAAGAACGCAGCTGTAATGAATACTGCAAGAACACAATGAAAACCTGCACTGCATCCATAGCACACCTTGAAATAGGTTCTGCAGCAAGGAGGAATTACT